ACCCAACGGCGAACTAGGCCGGTCATGGCTTAGTTCGCCGTTGGGCGAACTAGCCGGGACGAAGCTAGTTCGCGTTTTACGGCGGTTTCGGTTTTTCGCGGTTTTGTAAAACGGTTCTTCTTGTTTTATAAAACGATTCTTCGAGTTTTACAAAACGATTCTCGAGTTTTATAAAACAATTCTTCGAGTTTTATAAAACGATTCTCGAGTTTTATAAAACGATTCTTTGTGTTTTATAAAACGATTCTTCGAGTTTTATAAAACGATTCTCGAGTTTTATAAAATGATTCTTCGAGTTTTATAAAATGATACTCGAGTTTTATAAAACGATTCTTTGAGTTTTATAAAACGATTCTTTGAGTTTTATAAAACGATTCTCGTGTTTTATAAAACGATTCCTCGAGTTTTATAAAACGATTCTTGCAGAAATTAATAATCTCATCTTTTATAGAAGCTATCGTAGACGTTGATTTTGAGATTACGATTTTTGACACCAACATTCTTCACGCTTCATATCGATCGATGGTACATGGCGTACATTGATCGATGGAGTACCTCAATTCGTCATCTTCTACGGAAGCGTCTTCGATCGATCACACAGGATGTGTATCGATCGATATGTATCTCTGGATATCGACCTTGTTGTCTGATCTTTATAGTCATCTCGGGAAAACTGTCCTTTAAGCTCCATAAGGGCACCTAAATCATCACTTTACTCCAAAATGCTCCTGAACCTGAAAACATACCTAATAGACTCCAAAACATATATATATTATAAAATTATATAAATACCATGGTTATAAGTGGGTCAAACCATGGTATATCACTTAGCAACCAAATTCATCTAGCCAATCATCTTAGCAATCCTGTCTGTTTATCCCCTCTACTCATTTCATTTATGCATAAAATAAAAGTGAAGGTTTTACCTTGGGAGTATCGATCAATGAACACTTGGATTCAACTCAAGCAAGTTTCAGGCATTCTCATTCTAGTTTCCTTTCTCTCTATTTCTCCCTTCTCTGAATCCCAAATTTTTCTTTTTCTTTTATATCAATCCCAGTGAACAACAAATGTTCATCTTATTGATCTTTCTATTTTTTGTAGCCTTTTCTGAAAAAGTGTAGGCGAATAGTGGGGTCATGGATAATTTTCCTCTCCCTCGCTTCCATAATGTGTGATCATTCATTTGAATTAGAATACTGGGATCATGGGTAATGTACCTCTCCCTCTGCCTCTCAGGAAATCATCTCAATATTTTATTTTTCTCTTTTTGGGATGCCAAAGGAAGGAGAGAATGAAACCAAAATTATCAAGACTTTTACCTTCCAGACTTGCAGGAGGATTCTGATCCCTTGTAGACCAATCCCCAAGACAAGTAATAGATGTCAGGTTAGGTTGGAAATCAGCTTTTGTTCTTCCAAACAATCATGAAAAGTGTTGTCATAGGTGACCGGTGATCCACTTTAGCATCTATAGTACTTTCTGCAATCAACAATTCTAAGAATGGTGCTAAAGAGTGGATGGATAAAAAGTAAAAATTTTGAAATCTTTTTGTCTCATTCTTGACTCAATAAAACCAATTTTGAAAACATTTAATGAGATCAAAAGGTAAAGTAGCATCAGTAATCTCCACTCCCCCAGACTTAAATCATACATTGTCCTCAGTGTATAACCAGTCGGAGTTAGGGCATAAATAAATAATGTATAACTGATATCGAAAATTGTGAACGATATACCTAACCGGAATTCGTATCGATCAATGGTGAGTCGCCTTCGTCGATCGTCATGGATAGGTCTGTGTCGATCGTGTCGACAGGATCTTATCAGTCGATAGAGGTAGTGATCGTGTAGCATCTCTTCTGAAATAAATAAAACGAAAGTAATAAGTAAAAATAAAATAAAACTAAGGAAGAAAATACCTAATAGTGGGTTACCTCCCACTCAGCGCTTAGTCAAAATCATTTAGCTTGACTATAGAGATATGGTGGCTAGTGAGGTTAGTTGCAGGTACTTGTTGGGAAACAAGTATCCTCCTTGTCTTGTGATTCTTCAAACCATGAAGTTAAGAAGCTTCTTGTGGCTTTCTCGCTTCTGGTCATACTAGCTTTCAAACCTTGGACCTCATCGTGGATTCTTTGTAGCCACTCCTTAATGCTCGCAATGCTGAACTCATGTTATCCAATCTTGCTGTAGGTGTTTTCTAAATCAATACTCAGCTGCATTGTGTCGAGGTGTTGTATGGTTTGCACACGGGAAGAGGTAGTATCGCCCGGTCCTTGTGGGTCTGTATAGGTCGATTTCGAAGAAGGCCTATCGGTCGATGGGCTAAAAGGCACGTCGATCGATGCGGATGGTGCAGGTCGGTTCGCGGACTGGGGACTCGTCCGTCATTTGAATGGAGGAGTATCATGCACGGTAGAGAACTACTCAGAAAGGGATTGGTTCGACACATTGGTCATGGGATGGATACAAATGTTTGGGCAGAAAACTGGATTATTGATATTATTCCCGACCTCCAATGTACCGAGAAAATAGTTCCATAGATTTAGCATTAAAAGTTTCTGATTTATTACTACAGGGGTCAAATCAATGGGATATTAATTTGTTAGATCGTACGTTTACATCACAAGATGTTCAAAGAATATTAGTGCTGAAACCGACACTGGATTCACAGGATACTTTTAAATGGGGTTTTACACCAAATGAGGCATATTCGATCCGGAGTGCGTATAAGTTTTCAGAGACTTTGGCGGACTATGAACACCCTCCGCAGAATTCTCTTACTCTTATTGAAAAACATATGTGGAGAGACCTCTGGAAGATCAAAGCACCCCCAAAAATTAAACACTTCATGTGGCGTTCTCTATCTGGTGCGTTAGCTGTTAAACAACATTTGGCTACTCGGGGTATTCCTATTGACCAAACTTGCTCTTTTGTGGTAATGGGGCTGAGAGTATATGTCATGTTCTCTTTACATGTGTTAAAGCAAGAACCACATGGGAGCAATCGAATTTCCCAATACCTTCAGGAGGTTTCTCTCGGAGTTCCACATTTTTAAATTTTGTGCATCTGAATAAGATTGCCAATAATTTAAATAGGGATAGCCATACTAGAAATGTTTTCCCATGGTTACTGTGGGAAATTTGGAAAGCTATGAATGTTTTTACTTTTGAAACCAAAGTAATTGACGCTTTGGTAGTAGCTAAGAAAGCCTATGAAGCAGAATCGGTATGGTTTGATACTTTCACAATAAGGAGTGGTGGGGTTACTAGTATTGATACGGAAATGGTGCGATGGAAACATCCGCCCATTGGCTTCCTAAAATGCAATATTGGATCCTCATGGGTGAAATCCAATCAACCTTCTAGTGCTTCATGGATTTTACGAGATAAAAATGGGGTTACGCTCATGCATAGCCGTAGAGCTTACTATTACATGCGTACAAAAACAGAAGCGGCTTTATGGGCCTTGTTCTGGGCGGTCGAATGTATGCATAATTTACATAACTCAAATATTATTTTGAGACATCGTTCGATTGCCTCCATGATGTATTCACAAAGCCTGATAGCCAGCAAAATCATGATTTCAACATCATCCGCCACAATAACGTTTCTCTTTTGGCAAGGATATACACATGGAGCCTAGAACACGCCCTTCTAAGAACGCAATAAAGCGACAGCGGCAAGTGCTCGTGTCACCCGTGATCAGCGTCACCAGTCGTACATCGCTAGACATGCTCCGGCGTGGCTTCATCATCTTCTCGCTTTGGAGACTCAAAAGTAAGGGGTTAGTTAGGTGAAATTTCATTCATTTTGTTGTAGGTGTCTATTGATATCTCATTTAATTTTTCTTTATGTATCACATGTTTCATATGTTGGACAAGTCAAAACAGCAGTGTTATAAAAAAAATAGTTAAATAATTTTAAAGTGTTAAAAAGTATCACTTTAAATATTTTTTATTAGATTTTACTTATTTAAATTTAATAAGCAGAACATTTCTCATCAATAACCTTGTTAATATCAATAATAACTTGTTTTCTATAAGATGCATAAGCCCCAAATATGTCTTCAGTTACTTTTTAGTAAAAATTCTGCAATCAATAATGGTGTAAATATGATATATTATTAGTTTACCAAAATTTACGTTTTATATTCATATATTTAAAAAATATTTTGATGTAAATAAGAAAAATGATGTTTTCATGGTTTATATATTAAATAATCTAAATCCCATTCACTAATTTTTATATTTTATTGTAAGGAATATTATATTAGGTAATTACATAAATTTTATTTAAGAAAATAAAAGAGAAAGATTCTTTGTGAATATTTTCTTAATTGATGGTCCATTATATATATATATGATGGTAGTGTTGTAATATTTATTAAGTCTTTTAAATATGTGACTAGGTTACTTTGCATCAGTGTATATCTTTGTTGCTGTTGGACCTTCCCTCGAGTTCGGCCTAAATAGAAAATGTTCTTGCTATTACCTTACCCTCGTGTCCAAGCTCGACCTCCACCTGACCTCTGAGAGGAATCTGCTTTATAAGAATGATCACGACCTCGGTTCACTGAGTCTGCAGATGCACGTGTCACATTCTAATAGGCAGAGGTTGGCTACAAGAATCATGACTGGCAACTAACTTGCCTGCCTCTGATTCTCTGAACCTCGGCTACATGCTCTACACTTGAAAGAAGTAGTAGAACGGTTTGTGAAGAGCTACTTCATCTGTTTAGACATTTATACTATGAAAGCAGAAACCCAATCTTAAGATCTTTAATCCGAACTAGTTCGATCCGCTTCTCTTGTTCAAAGGTCGGCTTCAAACATGAGACCCTGATGTGTTTCCAGCCTCAAGACCTTGTAACCTAGCATTTGAACTAGAAGACGTCTCAATATAAGACTATTAGATGTATTCCTAGCCAAGCAAAGTACTCGTAGCAAAACTCATATCCTTTTACTGCAACATAAATGCTGGACTCTTTCGACATACCTAGAAGGATATATATTCATTAGATATTCATATGACTGATAAACATTAATGCACAAAGAAAAAAGAGAAGCAAAGAGTCACAATCAAAAACCTTAACATAGTTTTTCAAGCTCACAAACATAAGTTGACCACAGAGTAGAACATGAAAAGAACAAATAAACTCTTATTAAAGTTTTGCTTAATCTTCAGGATCAAAAGGCCTGCTGTCAAAATCTTCTCTGTCCTCAGCAATGTCAGGACAATACCTTTGAGACAAAACCTCAACTTGTTCTGCAAATGTTTTGCTTCCAGGTATACCAATATGATTCACCATCTGGTTCCACCGACTTCTACAAGCATCTCCATCTCTATTATCCAAAAGAATATCCCAATCCACGTCGTCAACGCAAGCAGCATCCAGATTCGTAAGCTCCTCCAAGAGCCTATAGTCATCCACATTAGCCCATATCCCCTTAGCCACCATTGGTGACGTCAACTGATCATACCATTTCAAACAGCAGACAACATGGTCCCTTGTTCCGAGCTGGTCGCTTATAGCCATCCAAGGGATGTTATCTCGGAGCATCCCATGTTTTGAATGCTTCTCTTTGAAGGCTTTTATTCTCAGATCTTTGTTAACGAGATCAAAGAGGCTTTGGTACTCCTCCATCGTCCAATGCCCTTTCTTCTTGGATGCCAATCTTATCCTCCTCCAAGCGTCCTTCACGTGGTTCCTGTGTTTACCCATTGCATCTGCGAGGGTTCTCCAATCATTGCCGTGTTTCTTTTGATACTCTACGACGAGTTCCAAATCCTCTTTGCTCCATACACCCTTTGATCCTTGTTCAAATAAAGTGTGAGCACGGTAGTAGACACCAGTGTATGGCCTCCAAGGCAAAGCAGCTGCTATCTCTTTCCAGCAGCCTTTGACCTTTTTGTGTGACTGGCAGTTCATAACCATGTTTATCCCTTCATCTCCTAGAGCGTGGTTATCAACGTATTCTAATACAGATTTCTTGATCAGCTCGTCTTCTTCTTTGGTAAAGCGCTTACCTCTCACCAAGTCGACTTTTTCATCTTCTTCATCTTCACTTTCTTCGGACTCGGCAGGAAACACTTCAACATGGTCAGAAAAGTTGACCTTTTTAGCGCTTTTACTTGGTGGGGTGCTCACAACTTCATCACCCTTTTGCTTCTTCTTCTTCTTCTTCCTTTTCTCCTTTCCTTTATTGTTGCTGTTGTTGTTGTTGTTCTCTTCAGCCTCAAGATCTTCACTTTGCTTCTTCTTCTTCTTCTTCTTCTTGTTCCTCTTCTTCTTACCACTTTCAAGAGAGTTCAACTTCAAGTCGTTTTCTTCAGCCTCAGTTTGTGTCATCTCTGCATCTTTATCTTCAGTAGAGTCCTTGTTGTTTGGATCACCACTTTGCTTCTTCTTCTTACTTTTCTTCTTTGGATCTTTGGTAGACTTGTCAGTTTGTATCTGATTAGCATCTTCAGTAGAGTTTTTGTTGTCTTCTTCAACCTCTGAATCATCAATTTGCTTCTTCTTCTTCTTCTTACTTTTCTTCTTTGGATCTTTGGTATACTTGTCAGTTTGTATCTGATTAGCATCTTCAGTAGAGTCTTTGTTGTCTTCTTCAACCTCAATTTGCGTCTTCTTCCTCTTACTTTTCTTCTTTAGGTCCTTGGTAGACTTTTTCATGCGGTCATTGTTGTTTTCAACTTCAGCCTCAGGATCAACACTTGATTTTTGCTTCTTAGGCTTGTGTGGTGTATCTCCCACATCAACACGCTTTCTCTTTCTCTTAGCATCATCATCATCATCATCATCATCAGTGTTGGCGAGTGGTTTCTCATGGCTTCGATTTCCTTCACTAACTTTGGAGCTTTCATTGTTTCCTATCTCATCACCACCACCAGATACCTTCTTCTTCGATATCTTTCCACTATCATCACAATCAGGTTTTTCACCACTTGCTTTCTTCTTCGATTGAACCGCAGCCTTACTCGGCTCTTCATCCGTGTCAGACTCCACCGAATCTAACTTAAAGAAATTCGCCGCCATAACCATTACGATTCGCCGTTACAACAGTTCGCTCAAAATCCGAATTTAGGGATTGAGAAACTAACTAACGTGAAGCTGCTTCCAGGTTTCTGTGGCGGCTTTCCGAAGACAAAAAGGGTTTATTTTGATTTGAGATAAAGATGTGGGCTTTTACGTCAAAGGCCCAATAATACTTTTAAGAACGACATTGATTGATTCGCAGTGTGGGAAGCTGATTGATCAAATACCGTAATTCACAAGTCATGATTGAAGAAATAAGGTCGTCTGATATTGTTATGAACCTAGACCAAGGTGGAGAAAAAATGATGGGTTTTGGTCTTCGGTTCATCTCAGGATCATCTCATACAGAGAAAGAGACCTTGGCTTTGAAGAGGAATGCCCGAAAGATTGCCACTCCAGAGAAAGACAGGTAATGTTGAATCTCTTCTCTAATATAACTATGAGTTTTATCTTGCAGGTTTTACGGAGAGAAGAGAATACCTAGTTCAAGGTGGAGCTGTTTCATTCAAGAATAAGTTACAGCTGAGAGAAGACAAGGAACTAAAGAAGTGATGAGTGGAATTCTATGAGGCAGAAACTGAAGAAGGCGAGAAGAGCAAAGATTTATGAGGCTGTCTCAAGGAGGCATGAGGCATGGTAAAGTGACCGACATCAAGGTTTCAGAAAAGAAAGGAAAAAAAGTGCAGGTACTAAGGTCTGATAAGGTTCGCAGGTCAGCGAAGCACAGGTTCTTAGCTATAGCGCAGGTGTCTCAAGAGTTATCACAGGTGGTGTGAGTATGAGACAGTGTCAGAGACACATTGTGAGCTTGAGAGCTATGGTAGAAACTACTGGTACTGATTGGTTTACTCAGAATCGGTACAAATTTGGTTTCAATACGGGTAAAGGCAGTGCAGGTCACTGCAACAGCAAAGCGTCTCAGGGATATTGCAGAGTTTGTAAGTCTGAGACAGGCATAAAAGAGGTCTGCAAGAGGTTAAGCAGTTGCTGACTTTCGCCATCAGTTTTTTTCGGGCTGTATAGTTGGTGATCTTCAAGTCGAAGCAAAAGGGTTATAGCATCGAGATCAAGTTTTGGCAGAAGGTTTGATGACTCAATATTCAGTAACATGGAAAGCTTATGGAGTTTTTTGTTGAGTTATTGATGGGTGGTCGTCTCAAGTTTCTGATTTACGGAAAGTGCCAAAAGGAGGACCAATGGAGAAGTTGAGCACAACAAGAGGCTATGAAGTGCAGGGAAGTCAACTTAATATGACTTGAGAAGTTTAATAGCTCGAGATTGATGGTGTGATAGATATCACAGCTAGAGTTCGATGAGTTCTTTCAAGTCTGGTTCATTGGTGATTGAGTAAGTGTTAGAAGACTGAGGTTGTTGAGGTCAGCACTGCAGTTTAGAAGAGTCTCAAGGGAGCAGAAAAGAAGTCTTCAGGCTGTGTCAAGTTGGATACAGAATAGGTTGCTTGGACAAGTTTCAAGAAGCGTTGGAGTTAAGAGTGGTGGAGCTCAAAGATATGAAGCTGGATGAGCTTTATTCAAGGAGATATAAAGTCTTGAAGATAGTATCTCAGGAAACTGCAAAAGGGTTGCAGAAGGATGCAAAGGGTTGCAGAAGCTGAGAGATTTTGCTCAAGTACCGGAGGTAAATTCAAGACTAGATAAGATCATAAAGAAGATCAGTGACAAGGTGGAGATTGTGGGTTTATGTCATCTGATTCCTCTTTAAGCAAGTGGTGTGTGTGATGAATACTCTGAGTGGTTCAGAGGGTTTGACTCAAGCTGAATATACAAGACATGTGAGAGGCACATGTGGGCAATAATCTCTCAGCCAATCAAAAGAGAGTTCTCTTCTTTACGTTGTATCTTCTTTTTCTTCGTGAGAGAGAGTCCGAGAAGCTTCGAGAGCTGTAACAAAAGAAAGAAAGAGAGAGAGATACAATTAGAGAGAGAAAGCTTGAGAGAGTTAGGTGATTGTAAAGACTATATTCATCACACATATCTAGTGAATTTCCGGATCCTCCGGTCCGGTGATGTATAGCGGCCACACCTAGTTAACGGTGTGCTGCGGTGTACACCGAGTAAACAATCTTGGGGATGGTTGGTTGGGCTTTATCTTGATGTTCAAAATGCTTTTCTTCATGGAGATTTAAAAGAAACAGTCTATATGAAGCAACCCCCTGGTTTCATTGATCAAGATAAACCAGAGTATGTTTGGAGGTTGAGAAAAGCTATTTATGGACTTAAGCAGGCTCCACGAGCCTGGTTTGATAAATTCAGTTCTTCCTGGAGTTCGGTTTCAAGTGTAGCTTCCCTGATCCATCACTCTTCATCTATCACCAAGGATCCGACGTTGTTTACCTTTTGCTGTACGTAGATGACATGATTGTCACTGGAAACAATGAGAAACTTCTTCACCATTTGTTAAGTCAACTTCATACCAAGTTTCGGATGAAGGATATGGGTACTCTACACTACTTTCTTGGCATTCAAGTCCATCAACTTGGAGATGATTTGTTTATGAATCAGGAACAATATGCAAAAGATCTTTTGGTTACAGCTGGTATGGCAGATTGTGCTCCAATGCCTACTCCTTTGCCTCTGAAACTTGCCAAAGTTCCTGGTCAAGACAATGTCTTTCCAGACCCCTCTCACTGTCTCTCACTTTCGTTGTTTGGCTGGAAAACTGCAGTATCTTACGCTTACTCGACCTGATATTCAGTATTCTGTGAATTTCATCTGCCAGAGAATGCACAAGCCAAGTCAAGCCAATTACAATCTGTTGAAAAGGATTCTTCGATATGTTAAAGGAACACTGGCTATGGGTGTTAGTATTAAGTCTAACACTGACTCAACTTTGATGTGTTATAGTGACAGTGATTGGGCAGGTTGCCAAGAAACAAGGAGATCAACTGGCGGGTTTTGCACATTACTTGGTTCTAATATTATTTCTTGGTCTGCACGGCGTCATGAAACAATATCCAAGTCCTCCACTGAAGCTGAATACAGGAGCATGTCTATTGCAGCTTCAGAAATAGTGTGGTTGCAGAATCTTTTGAAGGTTATGGGTCTTGCTCAACAACGCACTCCCTTGTTGCTGTGTGATAACTTATCAGCGGTTTGCTTGACTGCAAATCCGATGTTTCATAAGAGGTCAAAGCACTTTGACATTGATTATCATTATGTAAGGGAGAGAGTGGCTCTCAAGGCTTTGGAAGTTCGTCATATACCAGCTTCTCTGCAACTTGCTGATATATTCACTAAATCCTTGAGCCAAGTTCCTTACTTCCGTCTGCGAGACAAATTTGGAGTTTCAGTTCCCCCCCCCCCACTCCAAGTTTGAGGGAGTGTATTAGACCAAGCACACAATATGTTGATGGGCCTCGTATAGAAGAAGAGAAGGTTGGGGTTCAGCCCATGAAGCCCAATGTTCAAAATGTCGTTAACACCGTTACAAGAAACAGAGTTGGTGTGTTGCAGAGGCAGGACCACAACGGTTCTTGTCGTCTTCAGTGTACGGTGAAGACAGCTCACAAGCCAACTCACACCACTCTTATTGTTAACAGATTTGACTGTCTAGGGGCTGGTGTATGCTAACGTGAACATTAGGGTTTTGTGGTTTCTCATATGTCATTTTGTATATAAGAAAGCCAGTGTCTTTTGTAAAGTTTGAGTTGAGTGAAATAAAAGTAAAGTTTCATTCTTCAGATCTCTTAAGTTTTCAACCCTCACACTTGTCTTTCTTCCTTTCCACACAAAATAAAGGATAAAACTTTTGAGTTTAATAAGAAGAGAAACAGACCCGAGAGGTATGATAGGAATGTTACAGAAGATACTCTCAAGGCCATTAAGAAGATTGATAAGATCAGAAGCGCTAGAGAAGCTGATCACATCAATAAGAGGTATGCATTATTTTTGAATATTCCTTAATCCCTCATACAGACTCTTATGATTGGTTTTCGTTATTGTGTGAGACTTAGGTTGAAGCCAAACAAACAGAAGGTATTCAAGAGTGCAGTCGCTGATATAGACCAGCACATTAATTTTCTGAGAGCACCAGGTTCTCAGCAACAAGATTCAGAAAAGATGAAAGTGTTGGTCTCGGGAAACAAGTCTGTTCAAAACGAAGCCATGGAAAGAGTGATTCAATGAAAACACTCTGAACCTGGTGTCATCTTATTAAAAGAAAAAGGAGTTTTGGTGTTTGTACTACTGATGAAAGGAGTTTTTAGACTGTTTTCGTTTTACAATGTATTATTATGATTTCCTGGTACAAGGGAAACACATTTTAGGAGATTTTTTATATTTACTTTTCAGACTTATACAACTGTTTTAGCTCAAGAATCCTTAGCTCAATAATCCTTATGAGAGTTAAACGTTACATTTAGTAGTAACTGACTAACTGTACCATTAACAATTAAACTGGTTTGGATTGCTCGATTAGCTTAGCCAACCCGATTCTGCTAAAGATCAGAATATAAGATGATGATTGTCTTGTCTTACACTTCGATCAACACAATATCCTATGGACATTCTGTCAACCTTTGATTGACTGTCATATTTCATGGTGGAATTGTGCACAGGATATGCTTTAGTAATATGCATTTATAAAGTTTTTGGCCCTTGACAGCTTAGTTTGGATGAGCACATTTGGACTGTCACCAATACATTAAAGATAACGTTAAAAAGAGACCGGCTCTGACTGTGTGGTTATTGTATAATTTTAATGCTAACAAAAACAAATTGTAGAATTTTTAATTTTTACTGTGTTTTTGTAAAATAAAGTGTTGAAAAAAAAAACAGAATTGTTAGTAGCTATGTTGCACGGACGCTTCATCGAACGTCTGCTTTCCGCTTCAGTCGAAATTGGAATCAGAACCTTGTGGAAGCTTTCGGAATCTCGATTTCAAAACGCTTCTAAAATATCATATATAAAACAAGTTGGAAGCTTACGATTCCACTTTGGAATCACGCTTCCAATTTTAAAAAAACAATATCATATACTAGGGGAGGTCCGCGCTGCACGCGGGATGTGATTTTTGGCTAGACAATTTATTATATTTTTTACCCTTATAAAATGTTTTTGATTTTCTTATACTTGATGTATGTGTAAAATACTTGATTTTCCTTTGATGAAACGTGTGGTTTTTTTTTTATATGTCTTATGTTCATCATTCAATATTTGATTGATAGTTTGAAAAAAAAATTGGTGATTTTGTATAACACTGATTTTTTGATTCTTGAAGTTCAATATTATTGTAACGGTGTTTTATATACATGGGCTTATTTAATATACTTCATGGGTGGTACTTGTTAACCGTTCATATCATATTCAGATTTGGGACTCGTTGGTTTTCTTAACATGTATATTCTTCTTCATTTTAATTTGTTATAAAAATTGTCAATTTTATATTGTATCATATTCCTTTTATTTTTGAAAGTGTGAGTTCTTTACTAACATTATGTTGTAATATATTTATTTCTTGATGTAACACTTGTATTTATGTAATGTTAACTTGTGGGTTCTAATTTAGTTTTGTTTAAACCGCTTGCTTAATGATTTTGTACGATTTTGTTTTAATTTTTTCGTGACTCTGATTTGGAACATAGTAAAACACCTTATAATATGAGAAAATAGTAATGTGAAACAAAATTTTCTAAACAGAGGAAAATACTGTAGATAAACTTTATTTATGAAACATTGGTAATACGAAACTGGTGTATTCCGGAAAAGTGTGAATATGTTGTTCACATCGTATACAATAAAAGAAGTCAAGTATGTGTATTTTTTTTACTTGTTATGTATGTTTGTTTCTTATATGAAAGTTCTAATATCTTTTATTGATGACATAATTCTAAATCATTTGGTATTTTTAAATTCTTGTTTGAAAGGGTCTGATTTTGTTTTATTTGTTTTCATATGCCGTCGTTGTTTGGCTCGATCGGTGTTGTGAAGTTGACCTTCTTCAACTCCGTTATAACATAATTCTATGGCTGGGAAGTATACACAATATGTATGTGTGTGAAGAGTACTACAATCATATTTTTATTATATTTTTCTTCTCTATACTTTAGTTTTCCTAATGTGATACAAATATTGGGACCTTTTAACGATTTGCAAACGATGGCGTTTGGATGGTGTGAGACGGTGCATTTGGAAAAAACATTCCTGGTTTTAATGTTAAATTTAAGAGGCGGTCACAATATCGGTGTATAAATTGCTTTGGATATTTTTGGTTTGGTTTGTTAACCTTATCTAATTATAAGTTTAACTATGCTGAGTAATGGAGGATTTCCATGGACCACAATATACAGAAGAGTTAACATGATCAAGATGCATAAGCATTTGTTTTTTTTTTTTTAAACTGCATAAAAATCCTTACAATTTCAAGACGGATGACTACTTAAAATTTTATGAGTGTATCATACGTTCCGTGACTCGAAAAGAACCCTTCCCGTTCCTTTATTCAAACATAATCTCGCCGTTAAAGTAAACCTTGAGAGGGAAGGAAACCTGTTTGTTCACTGGAATCATTGATGGTGGTCAGTAGCGTAAGCGAAGATAGTGTAAACATGGAATATAGACTATGTTTTAACTGCTTACATGAGTCACATGGAGGTCCCTGAATATCTCCTAGGACTCGCAAATGTAAATGTTTCTGTAAAGACGGGAACATCATTTCATTGTATCAAACTATCATCACCTAATCAACGATTAACTCCTTCAGATTAGTTTTCTCCACTAAGCCATAAGGGTCACGTAGTCAAACATTGGAACGCAAAACAGAGAAACCACGTCACTTATGTATTTGTAAATTAAAAGTCTTTTTCAATCTAAAAGGCAGTCCTTTTTGGAGAACACTTACAAAGTTTTTCTTTAGGAATTAAAGACGATCAAACCACAAATATTCCTAACTGTTACCGACATCATTTCTCCAAAAAGATCAAAACTTTGGAACAAAAATAAGTCTCATTAAGACAATCTCAAATTCTAATTGCCTGATTAGTGATAAACGCCAGATTCGTTCCAACAGAGACAGATAAAAGAGAAACCTTTCCTAGTTTCACCAAAGTGGATCCTCGTAAGAATAATAAAATTTCATTCCCAGACAATTGGATTTACTTTACAAAAAAAAGAACATAAAGATTCTAAAGAGAGAGAGAGGACCAGGTTGTGGTACTCGGCGAGTTTGGCCATGGTGGTGCTCTCTCCGCCAGGGTTTATATCCCAATTCGAAGAAGTAAATGGGTTGAGAATGATTTTTAAGATACCATACCATACCTATTTATACAGAATAACTGGCCGACTGTGTGAAGCAATAGAGAATTCGTAGAGTAGATCGTGGGTGATGAGTTAATGATATGATCAATGATCCAAACGTTAGGAAAACCAAAAGACGCCATGAAAGCTTCAGGAGCTCTTTCTCAACGGCGACATGGAATAACCCTAATCAGCTTGAGCGAGTTAGTCAGAAAACAAAATGGACCGGATACTAAACAGGCCCATATGAAATTAAGAGCCCATAACTAAATCGTAAGAAATAAACGACAACGTTTTAGTTAGCCTCCACATGTCAAAACCATAATCACTCTATTAGTGACATAGCACTCTAAGATGATAGAAAAGCATTCTTTATAGTAATAGATAATAAATAAAATATAAAATCATTTTTATGTTTGAATAGTATATAATAGCATATATATATATGTAAATACTAATATTAATACTATAAATCATATATATGCATTGTTTTTAGGGTTTTTTGCAAAATTGACTTAAAACTCAAAGTCAAACACAAAACTAACTTCTTCTTTTGACTCATCTTGTTTTTGTCTTATTCACCCCACATCTTCATTTTATTTACAAAAATGCCATTAACTTTTTCTGTATTTTTTTCGAAAATTGCCTTTTTACTCTCTCAACCTCATCATCTTCAAGTATTTACAACATTACCATTGCCATGAATACTCCCAACAACCTTGTACAACCCAACAACCTTGTACAACCAAGGTTTGAAACTTTTAATGCACTTAATATCGATACCCATACTCTCTTTTTCAATTGTTATGAACTAAAAACAACATCTCCTTCACTTTGTCTCCATATTCATACCAAAAACCCAAGCTTTTGATAGCAAATTTTTATGGTTGATAGAGCCATTTAAGCATACAATTCTTGGTGGGTTACTTTCGTTTGATGTTCTGGGTGGTTGGAGAAGACTTTGTGTGCAAAGAAAGTCATCTCACCTAGTTTAAGGTATGAAATTGAATTTTTTTTCCTGATCTGTTCGCGTAGAAGACTTACTCGTAAGTCATCTGGATGTAGAAGACTTACGGATAAGTCTTCTGTGGTCAAACAGACGACTTACTTCTAAGTCGTCCAGCTTTGTTTGTTAAAAAAAACACCAAACGACTTATAATTAAGTCGTTTAGATAAACCGGGCTACTTTTGCATTTGACTTTTTCTGGACGACTTACAATTAAGTCGTCTCTGGGAAAGTTAAAATATCTGACCCAATTCGGTCAAATGAAAAAGTAGCCCGGTTTATCTAGACGACTTAATTATAAGTCGTCTAGTGTTTTTTTTTAACAAACAAAGCTGGACGACTTAGAATTAAGTCGTCCCATTTAAATTCCAATTGCAAAAATGACCTCATTGGACGACTTACGGGTAAGTCGTCCAGACGACTTACTGGTATGTCGTCTGCGTCAATGTTTAGTAAACTTTCATGAAATTCTCTATGTTTACTAATGTGTTTTATTTTGAATTTTTGCAGATGATTCGTCAGTTACATGCAGTGTATGGAGAATGGTTGTTGAAAGATTGCCGTTGAGATTTTGTGGTTGATGATCTCAAAGGAGCAAGATTGTTTTTATTGAATGAAGATTCAACACATGCTGAACTTGTTGCNTAATGTGTTTTATTTTGAATTTTTGCAGATGATTCGTCAGTTACATGCAGTGTATGGAGAATGGTTGTTGAAAGATTGCCGTTGAGATTTTGTGGTTGATGATCTCAAAGGAGCAAGATTGTTTTTATTGAATGAAGATTCAACACATGCTGAACTTGTTGCAATGGCACAAGAAGATTATAACCTGGACATGAGCACAATCACTGTGGAGATTAGATACTTATTACCAGCAGAAATGAT